CAATAGACCTTACCCACAACATTTAAATATAGCAGAAAGCTTTTATTTCCTGTAGTTTTTAAATAATATTTCTGATTGTACAAGAATACAACTTCACTGTAGAAAATTTTAAACATACTATGTTTACCAAGATAATTAAGCAAAAACCACCCCCAGTACTGGAACCTCCTTTAAACATATCAGTGTTTAAATTTCTTGCAGCTCCTCTAGTAACAGGAGCCAATGGGATTTTGGATCACTATTCAGGATGTTCCCAGCAGCCAGATCCTGGGTCCTGTCCACCCTGGAACAAGCCTTTAGGAATTCAGTGACACCCCCACTAGGAAGGGAGCCCAGCTGGGCTCAGACTCTGGAGGCCTCTGGTGGTGCATCCACACCCAGCTCCAGGTCTCGTCCTGGGATCCCCACTCTGTGCTGCCCACCTGGCGCCATGTCAGATCAGGGTGTGTGTGTGCTTGGGCACAAGCCTCCTGTCCCCCTGCCCCTTCCTCCCAGGCCCTGCTTGTCACCTGGGTGGGCCTCCACGCACCCTGGTGCCGGGCTCCGCCACCCTGTTGCCCCTCCTCTGAGAATGGCAGTGGGATCAGAGGGTTCGGGCTCCAGCACCTCCCTCTGGCACTGCCCTGCTGGCATGGGTCCTAAGAGCTTCTGCTGGACTGGGCCCTAGATCCACACCCAGAGCCCTGTTCCAGGTCCGATTCCCGAGGCCCACCTTTCAGATGTGAAACAGCAGAGAAAGGAGACTTCCTCTTAGATACAAAGACTTCCCCTGCTCTCCTGCACTGCTTTGCTGACAGATCTAACCTGTGGGAGGTGCAGTTTCCAAGCAGCCCTCATGCATGTGTGGGGGTGGGACGCAGCCCTTGGAAGGAAGGTGAGACTCACAGTCGTCAGTACTGACTGTAGACCCTGGTTGTGCCCCTTTACTAGCTTCCAGAAGTTTGTTGAAGTTACTTAGTCCTGGGCCTCAATTCCTCCTGGGTTTATTCATTGCTGGGGACTAAATAAAATCATCTGTGTAAACCACCTGACGCAAAGCAGGGGCTCAGAAGGCATCTGTGAATGCGTGAGACCGAGAGTTCCCCAGGATTACATCCTGGGAGGACTGGGTTTTGTAGATCTCACAAGAAACACAGGACTGCATAGGGTCGTGTGTTCTGCTGCAGCCCCATCCAAGATGTGGACGTGTACTCAGGCGACTGTGCCTTTCCTGAAGCCATGCAGTGAGTGACCAGTCTTCGAAGGCACTGACAGCCAGCCAGCGTCACAGCTCAGTGAGACCCACAGAGCCTCTGGGAGCAGCACACGTCTGTTCTGCACACATCATGGTTTTTCACGGCGAAGTTCTCGTGTGTCACAGGTCTGTAAGAACTGCCGGCTTTCATTCTCAAAGCTTGCCCCCGAGGGGCCTGAGGCCGCCCAGCCAGGGAAAGGGCGCACGACGCCCGAGACCCGAATGCTGAGGGACGGCTGCACTGCACACGGCAAACACTTAGTGCTGAGTAGAGGGTGACAAAACCAGCACCCCTGAGCTGTTTCTTGTTCCCAACTCACTCAGGGTCAACTCTCCCTCAGCCCGTCACGCCCACGGTGAAGTGGCTGAGAAGCGCCCCAGCGACAGACAGCAGGCGTCACGGCAGTTCAGGCTGAGGGAGCCCCGGCTCCTGCCGGCTGCAAGTAGGCCAGTGGGGCGTCCCTGCAGCTGTCCGGCCACAGCCCAGCGTTCCCCGAGCCTCAAGCATCCATTGGTTTCTGTATCACTGAGCTCGGGGATCGCATTTCCAGCAAGTAACACAAGTGGCTGCAGAAAACTTAGCCTCTCCTTTCCTCACTTGCAGTAAAATAGGTCACCTGTATACTCACCAAGTTGTCTTAAATTACATTATTGTGAACAGGCCTCTATCTCTGGCCCCTGGAAGCAATTTGTTTTCAGGGAAAGGGATGGCTGTGCATTTGAACAGGTATGTGACTGCCGATCACGGGCGCAAACTACGGTAAGAGCAGAAACCGTCGTGGGAAACAGGGCTGATTTCTCGCAGGCCGGTCACCTGCTCTCCGGGCTCCTCTGCTGGCTTCTGGGGAGCTTGCCCCAAGTTTGGGAATTTTGCTCCCTGCTGAGGCCCCTGAGACCGGCTTCCCAGTTCTTCAGCCTCCACTTCACTCGATCACCTCACCAACAGTGCCAGTGTGTCCAGACGAGAGGAGGCAGCGCTGCCCGCGTGACCTGAGGCCTTGCGGGCGTGAGAGGAGGGCACTCCTCTCAGCCAGTGCTGCCCCTGCCAGTGGACCACAGACCCTCCCAAACGGCCATTTCAGATCCTAGAAAGCAGTGGCACGTGACACACAAACACACAAGGAATTCTGAACACAGGACTTCAAAATCAGGCCCTTTATTTTTGACGGTCACCAAAGGTCCCTTTGAGCTCAGGCACACTGAGGTGTGAGAGGAGAGTGGGTCAGAGGCGGCGGGAGGGGGCCTTGCCTGCCGGCGGCTTCCTAAGGGGAGGAGAAGCGGCCACAGAACAGGATGCTGCTGGTCTTGCTGTGCTGGATGAAGAAGAGGAAGGGGCGGTCGGCACAGAACCTGGGCGTCCTTAGGGCGCAGCGGAGCATCATGATGGCCGCCGTGGCCGCCGCGGCCTCCGTGCCTTCCTCGTTGACCTCCACAAAGGACTTGTGCACGACCTTGGACAGAAACAGGTCCCTCCCCGACGACATCCCGGAGAAGTCTGCCCTGTCCTGCTCAAAGGCATCGGTCATGCCCAGCGAGCAGAGGACGTCCTTCATGTCGTACTTCTCCTCCAGCCGGAACCGCGGGAGGAGCACTTCCACCTCCTCTTCGTCCATCATGTCGGGCCTGGTCCACTCTGCAAATTTCTCATAGGTGAGCTGCTTCTCCACCTGCGAGAGGAGGGTGCAAGGGTTGGGGGGTGGAAAGGGCCGCGAGCGGAGCCACGCTGCGCGGTGAGGTGGCCGCGCCGGGCGC